TTGAGACGACGCCTTGTGAAGTCTCGACTTGAACTTGGATAAAAAATAGTGTTTAATTCCATTGGTGTATCCTCTAAATTAATAGTTATTTATTATAAAAAGGGGAAAAAGTATTAGATTCTAGCTCGAGGTTGTGTTGTCCGTGAGCTAAGATCTAATATTTTTCCGGTATACCGAGTGAACAACTAAGAACGGCTGTCATATCTATCTTTCTTCCAACTTTGATAGTTAATATCTTCCGTTGGCGAAAGCTATCATGTTGCGGTTTTCGTTGGTCTGTTGACCATTAGATTTATTCTATCTCAAACTTGTATCATTATTCGTTGCTGAGATATGGCCGACAGCCGTTCTTAGTTGTTCACCCGGTACAGTATGATGCAAATGTATGGAATAAATTCATTATTTCAGAAATGGCCAACATTTGAAGAAATTCCAACAACACGTGAGTTTTAATTTTTGACGCCTCATCTCATGACATTCATATGAGAGATGTTACGTCACCATTGTTGGAGTAATGACGTGATGGACGATTTTTTCTAATACAAACAGGGGTCATGTGACACCTTGTTTGAAAGGTCTACTGATCGTCTATCCAACAGTCGAAATTTTGCATAAGAAGATTGAAATAAAAATGGATTACCATTTGATTAACCGAATCTTGCAGAGGTCTGCTACTGAGAACTGAACATCGAAGTGTCGTCTAGTTGAAAAAAGCATCAATAAAAAAAGTTCTAGACTCTAGTTTTTGGATTTTTTTCCAAATTTGTCTTGTTTTGAAATGAATTCATGCCATACATTTGCATCATACTGTATAGTACACTATTTAGGACGAATCAATATTGAGAAGATATTACATTATTTTGAAATCTGAAAATTATCGACGTGAAATTTTAAGTTTTCAACAGTAGGGACACCTGCGTTGTAGGCATCTTTATCATTCTTTTGAAGTAATCAAATATCTGATGTCATTTCTGTCAGTCCAATTCTGTGATTTGATTTCGAAAAATTGCGAATTTAGTGGTTGTTTAGTAATATACGTAACCGCGAAGTCGAATGGAAGATAAAAGGACTTGCAGTTATTTCTCGAAGACGGTATTATTGACTCATTTTTCGGAGTAATTTATAAAAAGTGACATTTTATAACCTGCCAACAGAGTTGAAATGCCAAACTTTTTTCCCGTCACAGAAAAATTAGTTATTTATTATACAAAGGAAAAAGGTATTAGATTTTATGGCCGAGTTTTCCCAAAAATTATGGTTTGTTCAAAAATACCCCTTTGTTGTTTAACACCTGCCTCCGATGTATTGATTCAATTGTGGTAGTTTCCGATATTGATACTTCCATCTCGCAGTAAAGTTTGAAATAATTCAATATACAGGGTGTTAATTAATTGAGTGCCGATAATAGAAGGTGTGAATCCTCGGGTGATTTTAAGGAGAAAAGTTTATATCAACATATGTCCTGAACCTCTTAGTTTTTGAGTTACAGGGTGCTAAAATCAGAGGCGCACAGGTTTTCAAAAATAGTTTAGGTTTTTGGAAAAATCAATGGCGTACCATTTTTTCTTGAAAAATTGTCAGTTCAAACCCCAGATGGACGGCACTGGTGAAAATTAAAAAAAATATTTGGCGTCAAAAATTGCTTCTCGATGATGAAAGATGAGTACAAAATTTCATAATAATATCTAAGATTGATAAAAAATCATGATGAAAAATCACTTTCTTCTCGAAACTTCAACACCTCGTAGCACAAAACCTATGTCAAAACTAAGAGGTTTAGGATATATGTTCATATCAATTTCTCTTCTCAATATCACCAAAGGATTCACACCTGGTATTTTTGGCACTCAATTAATCAAAACCCTGTATATCTCAGCTATAAGTCGTGCGATTCTTACCAAATTCAAACCGGTATGAATAACCATCAAAATGATCAGTTTTTCAGAGACGAACGTCATCTTGGACAGTGCCGTATGTTTTTATTAAAATGAAAAGGGGTCAATTTTTTATGAAATTATACGGAATTTTTTCACAGGAAAACTAAGTGTACCTCATCATGGTTTCGAACGCCCATATGTGAATTTTCATATAATGTTTATCAGGGGGTTTGAACAAAATATGCGCATCTAAATAACAGTATAACTTGAACAATTATTTATTCGAAAACGGGAGTTCAACAAAAAAGTATGTTTTTATTTTTCGAATCATAATTTTCTATCTACCGGAGCTATTGAACGTTACCTACTAGGCAGAAAAGCACAAGATTCAATGCGGCTGGCGTTTCATAGCCAAGGCGTAGCCGAGGCTAGCAAATAACTTTTCTTGAAATGAGAAATCCATTTTATGTGTGTATTCAATTATATAATATTTAGATACCCTATTCAGAGCATTTATCTAGCACTGTCTACGCTTATGGTCCCATTAATTCCCGCAGTTATTCAGTTTTTTGACGTTAATTAATCGTTTCGCCTCCGAATATTCGAGTATGAAGGCCGGTATCAAATTAGTCGAAAAAGCTTGATGTGTAGATAAGGTTACAAGTGATAATTTCAACACTCCGTGTGTTTGTTTCGAGGTATCACAAGGCGATTGTAATCTTGTTCGGGGTAAAAAACATACTGTCTGAGATTTATGTGCTCCAAAGTCTATCCGGACATGCTTTCTATCGCTTTTTTTCTCACTGAGTATAACTGTTTGGAATCTAGCAACCAACGTGCTCTTTTAATCTGCGAGTAGTGTGGTTGGATATGAGATACTCAGATTTGCCATCGACCAGTTGTTGAAAAACGCCAATGTGCTATTGAAAAAAGCTAGAGAAAGCTACATCATAAAAAATGCACCGCAGGCGAAAGTTTTTCGAAATCAAGCGTATTTCTAGCTTTTTTAATACTTATTTCATACTGTTCACCACTCGTCGCACTGGTCTGAACTTTTTCTCCACCCAACATTTCTTGACTCTGTTCATTACGTGTAATTTTAAATGATGCATATATTTGTGTACACATCTATTTTAGTGTTTAGTGTTTAGAAATAAGAATTATGTTTTAGTTACCTCAACCAGGCTTTTGTGAATGAATGTTTCAGTATTGAGCATGGCTTGTACATGATTCTAAAATAAGGATGCAAATATAGTTCTTTGGCAACCGTCTGGGAAGTGCTCACTTCCCGAATGCTTTTTCTTTGAGAAAGTAGCATTTTTCAGGCCTAGTCCGGGAAGTATCACATCGTAGTCACTGTAACAATGAAAATCATGGTAGATATTGAATTTTACTGTGATCAACTATGACATTTTTTCATCTGCACCTTTTGTGTTTTATATATTTTGTGTTTGTGTACATAAATATATGTTTTTTTTGTATATTTATTTCAATAATGACGTGTACCATGTACGATTCAACTACAACTTTATTTATACATTTTTTGTTTTATTGATTTCGATTTTATAACTGTATTTTTCTCATGTGGCTCTGTCGATAAGATTTCTTTTTCTTGGACAATAGAGCATACTTTGATTTGATTTGATTTGATATGGTTTTGATAAATGCAGATGATAATTACCATATATAGCAGCGACATATATCGGCTGACAGCTATTTGACATGAAATTAGTTGACATTTGGATTTTTGAAAGTTTGTTTGCAATTATCGCGATAAACTATCGAAAGCAGCTGCTATAGTGAGTTTGAGAATGTCCATATACGAAGTTTTCAATGAAACAGTTAGTAGGTATAGGTATTCTGTTCAAATTTCAGTATTTGATGCAAATGAGAATGCCGACAAAATAGTGTACGCAGGTAACGACGCAACACGTCTAAACACAGTTTTTTTGGACTCGCAGACTTCCAGGACTCGCCTACGGCTCGACCTAGAATTTAGTCAACTCGTTCAAAAAAACAGTATTTTTTGGACTTGTTACGTAAATTACTATTTAATCGAATCAAATCAATGACAAAATATTAAATATTGAATTATGTTGTCAGTTGCTCAGTCCACTTTTCCGACTTTTCCGCCCTAATCTCAGTGTTGAAAGGGTCACTTCTCCGCACTAGTGCGGAAAAACTTTCAACACTAAAATGGGTGTGGTACGACGAATTTGGGTTTTTCCCTCGCTATAGTATATCAAATAGTGCCTCTAATGCGTGCGTAAAGTGACTTTTCTGCACTTCTTAGGTTAACTACTATTTTCCGACAGATTCCAAGAGACAAAATGAAATGATGAAAACATTAGAAATCGAAAAATGTGCCGCTTATTTTTTGTTCAACGTCAAACACCTTCGAATTAAAAGCTTGGTTTTTGGATATTCCCGAGCAGGTGCTTATTTTGAGGCATTCCATCTTGGGAACAATTTTTGAAAACACCTAGTTTTATACATATTATATAGGGCTGAAAAGTTGAAAAATCGATTTTGGACACCTTAACTCCAATGAATTGATGAAATCAGCTCTTCGGGGAGATACTAAAAATACAATAATATACAGGGTGTTCCATTGGAAATATCAAAGTTACTACTACTTTCTGGTATAAGTGGCAACGCTCGCTGCATTGCTGACAATATTTTATATCGATAGAACAAGAGCAACTATTAGAGTAACCAAATTTTCAGAATGATCCTATGCCCCGTTTTCCGTAAACGTCAAAGGTACCATCCACCGTGACCACCCTGTATATTTTTTGCACCAAAATGATGGAACGGAACAACATGTTGTATGTTCTTTGAATTTGGGGTCAAAATTTCAAAAGTATGGAAGCAAAATTCAATTTTTTAAATTGTTTTCTCCTATTTTTCTAATTTGTTCACTGACTATTTGACTTTGAATTTCACGATAAACGATTTCTCGAAAATAAAAATGGAATGATGGTGGGCCATTATCTTTTTCATTGACACTATTTCCATCAGCTTCATAATGAGATTATTGAGTACTTACAGTCAACAGTCCCATGTAATGAGAAATCAATTTCGAATTGTGCTGTTTTCACTATTTGACATTTTTCCTTACAGGTAAGACTGACGAGCAAGGAAAAGTCTTATACGAGGTCAAAAGTCGAAAAGTAAAATGGTGCCACAGAAGTCCACCCGGTAAGTCATATGCTTGACATTGTGTGATTTTTATAGTTGTTTTCTATGGTGGTTGGTCGTTCATCTTTCAAATTTGATATTTATTATCCATCCCTTATCTCCATTACAACCGTTGAAAAGATCTCCAAAATCTGGATTTATTTCTTAAAACTCCTGAAATTTAATGATCAATGGTAGGAAAATTAATGCTCACTCCTTGTAACTCGAATGTTCCTTGTACCAGAGATCAGTCACCCACTAAGATAGACATTTCAAATGGGCGATTTGGCCACAGCAATATATATCTACTATACAGTGCCTTTGATCGCTAATAGATGGCGCAAAGAGGACGAATCATATGAAATCCATAATTCCCGGTCATTAAGTAGTAGGGAGAAGTTAGCTCACGCCGCACAGCTCACATTCATAATATATTATAATGCAGTTTGAATCTTACAGTGGTCCAGTTGAATGATTGATATCACGTCGCGTATATCTGTTATAATCCGTGTTGGTCAACTGGACTGGTTCAGCCCATTATTTTGTACCTGGTATTTCCTGGAATCCAGTCAGCAATTTCATTTCCGAACCTAAACTGTTTTGATACCTTCCGAGTGCTTTCGATGAGAGGATTATTTTTACCATACAACTGTTTGATGATTAAAAAAAATGGAACCAATTTTTGAACCACTTCTTATCGTCCGATTTATTTGAAATTCGGCAGATGTACATAATTCTGGTGATAATGGATTATGAATTTTTTTTGAGAAAAAACAAAAAGGCGGATCCAACATGGCTGACGGTTTTTGTTATTATGATTCATTCTATTCAAAAATTTTGGGGGTTTTTTGTGTCGAAGATTATGATTCTTATGTCAAAATTGAAAAATTCAAGATGGCGGACGAGTTTTGTAATTATGATCCTGTTCTATTCAAAATTGGTATTTGGGGGTTTTCGGGGACGGAGATCATGATTCATGTCAAAATTGAAACATTCAAGATGGCGGATCCAATATGACGGACGAGTTTTGTAAGTATAATGATCCGATTTTATTCAAAATTGGTATTTGAGGATTTTCGGGGTTAGAGATTATGATTTTTTTTTGTCAAAATTGGGACAACTTTTGGAATTATGATCCGATTCGGAATTATGATCCGATTCTATTCAAAAGTGATATGATAGAATAAGTTTCATATCCATTTCCCGCTCTATCCAATGGTATTGATAGATTCGTGATCCGACGTTTCGTCTTCGAGAAGCCATCATCAATTTTGTTTTTTTGAATGGTCCAAAAAAAATGTTCACTCAAAAATCATCATCACTGTTATTTGATGATGGTTACGAGGAAAGGAAATGTCGGATCAAAATTCTGATGACGGCATCTTGAAGAGAAGGAAAAATGGCTGCGAAAATGTCAAATCCTCGAATTTGAGATACCCTGTACATATCTTTGCAGAAATGAATTACTGCTCTTAGTGCTCTTTTTTATTTATGTGTGACTAAGGGATTCGAAACACTTTATTTCTACTTTTTCTACAGCTTCTACAGGGTGATTCACCATAAATCTCCCCCCCTCTAGCTCAGTTATCTTTGGACCGATTTCAAAATTTGAAATTCCATTTTGAATGATTTTCGATAAAGTTTTTTTTGCTACATCAGAAAATACAGAGTGCTCGGAACAAACGATCTACAGGGTACTCTTTGATTTTTTTAAATAGAACACCCTATATTTTTCATTGTATTCTTAGATTCTCCCTGAAGAGCTGATTTGATCAATGTATCACACTTGGGGTCTAGCGGAAATGATTACAGAGATATAGGGTGTTCAAAATCGAGATTTTCCAACTTTAGGATTTTTGTGTGACGAAACTATTTATTATCGGTCAAAACGGATTTTATGTCCGTATCTTAATTTTTGATGTACTATCTACTGACATTTAATAATTGGAACAGATACAGAGTGATCAGGATTCTGAATCTTGAACCACCCTGTAAATGTTCCATTTAAATGTCAGTAGATAGTGAATTAGAAGTTGAGATGGATGAATAGGAGCCGTTTTGACCAATAATGAATAGTTTAGACACAAAAAAATCCTAAAGTTGAAAAATCTCGATTTTGAACACCCTTTATCTCAGATATCAGTAACTGAATTCTTTAACTGAAAATCACACACCACACACCAGCACTATAAAAACAACAGAACAACACAGCAGAGGAGAATCTAGAAATACTACAGTTGGTATATTTTCTTCAATGAAGAATAAACACAATATGGATGGCACAAATGCACAATCAATCCAGATTCGAAGACAACACGCAGAACAGAAACAAGTGGGTCGAAAGAAGCAGCGAAACTCGAATATACATAACCACAAAATCGGCAGAAAACGCTGCTGCGATTGATCCGAAGATGATCGGACATCGTCGGATTCAGAGATGGCTGCGAATCCCCGGCTAAGTTCACTCCATGGAATTCTAGCAACTAGAGACATCTATATTTGAATTCCAAAAGCTACTTGGAATGTATGGCCAAATTTTATACAGGAAAGATGTATCTTAGTGGGTGACTGATCTCTGGTTTCTGTTAGAATCCTTCAAATCATTGCAGATTTCTATAGAATTATTACCGACTCGCTGGTTTCATGGTCTCTACTTTTGTTAGTGTGTATATTCGCCATTAGATGGCGATGGCGCTACATATCTCTGAGTCACTGTAAGGTCTACTCACCAAACTATTAGTAGATTTCGTTTGAACGCTGGCTTCATTAATGCATTGAGTAGTTTTATTCCGTCTCCAGTAGATGGAGTTGAATTGAATTTATGAATATCGGACGAGTTCATAGGCTATATTGGGTGTTTTGTTCAAATGATTCAGGGTGTATAAAAACTATTAGCATTAAAATTTTAACATTTAAACATTTGTAACCTAAGAGTCTTAAGTGGATTCAGTTATAAAAAAAAATCAGGATTCTAGGACGATACATGTCTTCTGTCAATACTGACATCTACTTTCTGATACAGAACCAGATTTTCAAAGTTTACTAATTCGAAATTTCATGTTCTGATATCATTCTATAAATTTATATCCCTAAAATGATGCCCACATCCATTATATATCCACATTATTTAGAAAGTAATAACTACAGAAACTATAGCTCACTCCTTTGATCTTTTGCCAAATATGGGGGCAACAGAGTTGAGGTGGCATTCTAGTATATTTTCGGAGAATTGTTCAGTATCCATATTTTCTATCAGAATAAAAACGAATATTCAGGACATAACAATAACCCAAGATATTTTAAATAATTTTTGAATGGCGGGAAATTGAGATGTCACTTTTGGATGCGCACTCCTTATTCCATTTATGATCATATATCAGCACTTCTTAAGTTGGAAGTTAGCCATCTTCTTAAATCCTAAATGTAAAATCATAATTCTCAAATGGTTTTATAACATAACCAATGATATTTCCATGTTCCATCTGTCATAAAAGTTAGGTGATAAATCTTAAGTCTCACATTTTTTTATGAAGTGGCCCTCATCGAAACAGTCCCTATAACATTTCTTGATTTGTACTAAGTATAACAGGTTAGTGAGGTGGTTGGGTAACTAATATGCTTATCATAAAATATGTGAAAATTGTCTGTGTGAAAAATCAAACTTGAGTACTTACATGGACAAATATTGTTTTTCTCTGTTGGTAACACCAGATAGAATGAATCAAATGCCATAGATAGTGAACGTTTCAGAAGACAACAAAAAACAAACAATCTTTAAATAGCTCGATGATAGACAAATTCACGAGCACTGTATAAATACATATTGCGATTAATCAAAATGCTAATGAGCGCATTATCAATTGTCAAGCAGAAACCGCAACAGGATGTCATTATTATATTCAAATTTCAGACATCTAGATAGATATACCAATTCGTTTGTTTGTCAACATAACGCTACCATAACAATAACAATTCAGTTGTCCAAAATTAAATTAGAAATGTCACCCGAAAGTGTATATAATCAAGGCCCGAAGTTACAGGGTGGCATTGTAATCTGATACCTGGTATGGTATAATTTCAATTATATTTTGAATGCCTACATGAAAGTGTTCACTAAATTTGATATGAGATGAAATATTGTCCGACATCTTTTCGTCGTCAACCTCAACTCATGGCAAGGCTATGGAATTCTTTGCCGATAGAAGTATACAATCAATTAATCTGCAAAAGTCTGGACCACCCTGTATAGGCCAGTTGATCAGCACAGTTTTTTTATGGAAGATAATACCCTTATTTGTTTATCCTATCTCTATCTCGAATGAAATCCCCAGGAATTAGAAATCCCGTGTTTATTTGCAACGAAGATAAATGGACCAATGAATCATAACATATACCTATATCTCGGCGCGCCATTTTGAGGCGTGTCAAATTATTTGACAGCCGACAAATTGGAATGGAATAGAAGTAATAGAAAAGTACATGCTGAGTTGAAAGTGATGAATATTTGCAGTAGAGAAACAAATTAATGATTATTTTTTTCTTCATGAAATACCCGAGGGGTAATTCGCTGCCCAAGATCTGTACACCATTTCCACGCATTGCCTCGCATTGCATCGCATTGTCACAGCATTGCCACCGCATTGCCACGCATTGTCACGCATTGCCACGCATTGCCACGCATTGCCACCGAATAGCCACGCATTTCTACGCATTGCCACCGCATTGCCTCGCATTGCATCGCATTGTCACAGCATTGCCACCGCTTTCGAGTTATATACAGGGTGTCCCTAGACCAGTGGGACAGTAAAATATCTTCTGAACCAATAGGAATTTTCAAAATATTATAATTTCACATCATATCGCATTATGAGTGCTAACTTCAGGAATGACTATATTTTATACGAGGGGCGCAAGAAAGGCTCACAAAATCGAACATCAATTTTTTCAAATGAAACACCCTGTATTCCACTGCATTTTCATATTCTCCTTGAAGAGCTGAGTTCAACGACCTAGGACACTTG